AGGGAGGAGGGAGGCGGGAGCAGGACAGGAAGAGCAGGAGGACCAGGAGGAGGAGGTAGGCAGACGTGCTTCCTCCCCCACACCGTTGCCCCTCAAGGATGTACCCAAGGGGGGCGGTCTGGGGGTTTCAACTGAAGGGAAGGCAAGGCTCTCTTCGGCGACTGGCCCGCTGAGTGTTTGGGATCGGAGGCGCGGGTGGCAGGGGGGAAGGAGGAGGAGGAGGAGGAGCAGGAGCATGAGGAGGAAGGAGGAGGGAGAGAGGACATGAGAAGGGGGGTATAGGGAAGGAGGAGGAGGAGGAGGAGGGGAAGGAGGAGAAGGATGGAGGAGGAGGAGGAGGAGGAGGAGGAGGAGGAGGAGGAGGACCAGTGTAAACCCAAGAGTCATCAACTCTGTCGGAAGAAACCTGCCCTCCGCGTTCTTTCCTCATAGGCCCAGACAACGGTTCATTTCCATTGAGGGAACTGCCTCGTTGGAAGACAACCGTTTGAAGACCCTGAAGCACGCCGAAACATTGTTCTCGGGATTCCAACGCCACGGATCAACCTGCTTGTTGCGTCTTGACGATCCTGAATGTTGCTAAAACGCCATTCTTGGGAATTCAAAACCGCGAGTCAACATAATTTGTGAGCCCTCAAAATCCGGAAGCCTTCCACAACACAATGTCGCTTCGCCACGGCAAGAGTTGCATGTTCAAAGCGATTACCGTACCCGCCGTGGAATTGCTGAGCATGGTTTGGACGAGTGTGCGCGGCGCCATGGCGAGAGCCCTATCTTGACCGCGATTCGTCTTCCACCGCTGGAAATTGCAATATCGTCAGCGGTGATGCGATCTTGGCCAGAACGTCTGCTGGCCCAGCAGGGATCAGCTACGAAGAACAGGAGCGGCGGAGGGAGGAAAGAGGACGAGGACGAGGCAGGGCAGGGGGAGGAAGGGGAGGAGGAGGAGCGGCAAGAGGGGGCAGGAGGAGAGGGGGAGGAGGAGGAGGAGGAGGAGGAAGCGAGAAGGAGGGGAGGAGAGGAGGAGGAGGAGGAGGAGGAGGAGGAGGAGAGGAGGAGGAGGAGGAGGAGGAGGAGGAGGAGGAGGAAGGAGGAGGAGGAGGAGGAGGAGAGAGGAGGAGGAGGGAGGAGGAGAGGAGGAGGAGGGAGGAGGAGGAGGAGGAGGAGGAGGAGGAGGAGGGAGGGGAGGAGGAGGAGGAGGAGGAGGAGGAGGAGGAGGCAGGGCAGGGGGAGGAAGAGCAGGAGGAGGAGCGGCGGAAGGGGGCAGGAGAGGGAAACCCGGAAGACGAGAGGAGGGATACGGGAAGCGGATGCGGAGGACAGGGGGGCGCTGGGTTGCCGCCTCGCGGCCCTTGGGGCTCCAGGCCTCCCGAGCATACAGCTCGAGTATCTTCAGGAGGGGAAAAGACACACAGGCACAATTGGTCGTCATTTCCCCGGAAGATATGCGAGAATATGGGAAGTGGAGGGGGGGGACAAACACCCAGAAAGTATGGGAAATGATGGGGAATCCTTTTATTTCTGTGTATTTATGTGTGTGTGTGTGTCTCAGGGCCCCATTCTTATCGGATCACCCTGCGCATCTTGGTTACAAGACACACGCGCACACACTGATGGCACAACAACACAGCAGCTAAACACAACAGGTAAAACAGCCCGTTTATCCAGGTTTGTTAGTTTGTTTGTTTTGTTCCACGTTTGCTGTTTCCCTGTTTTTATTTCCCTTCGTTGCTTTTACCGCTTCAGCGAGGTTTCTGTCCGGCGCCGAGGCACAGGGAATGCAGCCGTTGATTCCCGCATCGTTCAGAACAAACCTTCCGATCGTGTATCCTCAGCTGCCACCCCCTGCCTTGTCAATGGGGCCCGAGTCTATGGGGCCGGGAGATCGCTGTGGGGCCCGATTGTCTCGACGGTGACGTCGCGCCGATGGGGCGCGGTCCTCCGACCCCGGCTGCTCGGACCCCACTCGGGAGGCACAGCGGCAGCGAGGCTCATGCAGGGAGGCGATCTCGTCCCGCCCCCCCCCCCCCGCGCCTGACAGTCTCGTGGGCGGAAAAGAGGGGGTGCTGACTAGGGGGGGGGTGGATATCATGGCGTGGGCCATGATGTTTCCCCTCGTGGCCGCGCCCGACAGTCCGGGACATCGAGACGCCGAGGGGATCCGCGGCGAGTCTGGATGTGAGTGCAGTCGAGGCGCCGAAGTGGGAGCCCCTTATGGGCTCAGCAGGGGCTCTGGTCCACGGGCCGTTCCGCAGATGCAGCTCGGGGGGCCCGTTCGTGGCCACGAGGCTCGCCGTGGCCAGCACAGCCCCCTGGTTCCTTCTTCCGCGCTCCTTGCGGTGGGGGGCCCATGCCAAGAAACACCCTGCTTGCCTCCAGGGTGCCCTGGGTTTCTTGGGTTTCGATGTCTTCGCGATGGCAGAAGTGGCATTCCCACACCAAAAACAAATCCATGGACGTCCTGGGGTCTCAGGGTTGTGTTTCTTGTGGGAGATTTCTTGTGGACTGACCTCCACTGTATGGCAGCACGATGGCTGTACGGGGGGGATGCAGGCACACAGGACGTTCCGTAGGTCGTCCCACGCATGGGTGAAGGAACGCTGCCAGCTGCGCACTGAGGCCGAAGCTCGGGTGCGGGCACTCGCGATCTCGACAGTGTTGCAGGAGCCTGCTCGCATGGCCCATCGGATGCCGCACGCCAGGATGTCAGTGACTTCTTTATCCTGTAGGTCGTGGACGTGGTGCGCAGCTATCGTGCTGCTAGAGGGAACGCCAGATAGAGAGCGAGGGGTTCCTCTGGCCACGACGAGACAAGCCTCGGCCACGAATAGGTCCCCAGACGTAGGTCTTAGGAACGGCCCGAAAACCAGAGCCCCTCCTCAGTCGGGGGTGGACGGAACCCCCACCCTGACACGTCGATTAGTGAATTGTCCGTCTGCGGTTCTCGAGAGGGCGCCGCGGCCGTCGTTCTCCAGGCTTGCGCCCGCCGGGCTTGGGCCGAGGTCGCTATCGCTAAACCACGTTTTACTAAAGGGGGTCCTGTCCATCCCGGACCGAGCCTAAAGTCGTTCTGATTTCAGCGTCATGATTGTAGCTGCTCGGTGCTACAAACTGCTTAGGTGTTTTTCATGCGGCCCTCACCTTGACCGCGACGGCGCGTGCGCCACTGCAGCGACCGGAAATGCCGATGTATTCTAGCGGCCTCCGGCCAGTGCCGCCGATTTAGGACGCTTCCGTTGCTGCCGGAAGCGCGCGATGGTGGTCATGACCAGCGACGGCGGCGAGCGGTGAGGATGATGATGAGGACTGGGAAGGTTCACTGCAGTGATTGGCAGTGTCGATGGATTTCGCGCGAGGCCTTCTTCGAAGGGTGGTTTTGCCGGAGCCCGTTCTGAACGCGGAGCCGCCGACTCGGAGGTTGCCGTAAGCTTACCTTGCCGAGTCGATCAGCGGATTGCCCCTCTTCGTCTCTCGTCGCCGCCGCAATGTTTGCGCGTCAGCACCCGCCGGTTTTGGTCCCGGGTCGTCTTCACTAGAGCGTGCTATGTTGCGCGGCTTCTGTCCACCCCCGACGGATACGCGGGCCCAGAGGTCGGCGGATGTCTAGATCGTTTCTTGTGCGTGCGCGCTGGGTGAAGGCCGTCCTGGCTTAGTGGGGGTTGCGGCAGTGGCCCCGATGGCCTACCGTTTCCGGAGCGCCCGACTGGTGCGTGTTCATGCGATGCGCAGCCAGCGGATTCGAACAGTGATAAACAAACAGTCCAATCAAATTGTGAAGGTGCAGTTCGCTTGGCGGCAAGAATACCGCTAAGCCTCGCTCCGGCTGGCCACACTGTTGCGGCCATGTTCCGTTATGTTATCCGCTTCTTCCCCTTGGCGCCGATTTTTCATATTCAATGGGCGTTTCCCTCAGGATCCTTGTTGTCCGATCTCCTGCGACCCAGGTCATTGGTATAGTTTTTGTTTCATAACGTGGACCCCCAGAAGTTTAGACACCTTTTCCCCAAACCGGTTTTCACCCCAAGTCGTTTTTAGACTGTCCCGGGGCCCGTTGGGGGCCCCCCGAGGCCGAGGTCGATTGACAAATATTGCCCGACGTGTTTTCCTGCGTCATATCGACAGGAGGTGGGGTGCCGCCCTCCAGGGACATGCCCATGCCGGCCGCCTCGACTTGGATGTTGTGAGGATTTGGTGCGGCACGATGTGTGCGTGGTGTCGGTGTGCATCCTGGCGCAGCCGAGTCTCTCTGCGATTTCGGCGTCGGGCCGACGCACAGTCCAGTTCGATGCGGGTCCCCGATTCGATGTCGACGGATCGGTCGGACCCAGGCATGATTATACTATGTGCGCGTCGGCTCCCTAGGGGCGTGGCGTGGCGCGCTCAGAATTATTGTGGTCTGTGTTTGATTGAGGGCGTTTTCTAGCCATAAGCCCGGCATGTCCCTCTATAGTTTTAGAGATACAGTTGGCCATAGGTCGGCCACAAGAGGAGTGTTCAAACATAGTTTAAATCATAGTATGCGTATGTTTGTTCACTGTTTGCCATGTGTTGGCCGTTGTCATGTTTCGTGCAAAGTGCGCCTGTAGGAAGACATGCCCGACCTAATTCGAGCCATGCCGCATGGATGAGGATATGCTTTAACAGGTTCGTGGAACACGCTCGGTTCGCACGCGTGCTTCCAGGGGGGCGCAATCGTAGCACTGCGTTCGTCAACCGTAACTTCACATTGCGTTACACTATGAGTTCGAGTGCACATCTGATGATCTGGATGTGGGTGACTGTACATGCGAAGTACTGTTTGGCGCAACCTCTCCAACGAAGTTCATCATGGAATTACCTAGGCCGCGCTGGCCCAGACCGCGTTTCGTTCTGACTCGGTATCGACGGGGGCGGCATTGCATAAACGAAAGGGGGCGACATCACGCCAACATCTTTTGAGGCTAGTTTTGTCTAGGGCTCTGGTATGTTCTTCTGTGATCCTGCCCTCCTCCTCCTCCCAGGACAAGATCTGGCTCTTTTACCTGCGCCTCCGGGCCGACGCGCTCCTGGTGCGGAGCGCGGGGGCGTTGTACCAGTTGTCTGGTTTCGGTGCCACCCTTGCGCTCAGGGGAGGGCATCGGCATCGTCTAAGCTATCCCCACTGGGCCATGGTATCTCAGCGCCACAAGCTTCCCCCCCCCCGGTGGGGAGAGGTCCCGCGAAACCCGAAGGGAAGCATCGTCTAAGCTATCACTACTGGGCCATGGTATCTCAGCGCCATCAGCTTCTGCCCTCCCCAGTGGGGACAGGTCCCGCGAAATCAGAAGGAAGCAGCACACATCCCCACCTACGGGCCACGTCAGTTTGGATGGGGATCGGTCAAACGATGCTCAGTCGCACATGGCCCCCAATTATCAAGGGAGGAAAAAACACCCGGACCCGACAAGTGGCGTTTATTCAACGGCCTTGGGGTTTGATAAGCAGCCCTGCCCTGTTCGATTCCTTCTGTGGGTGCGTTTACTACACGGCTTCGCATGTCGGGGTGATTCTTAGGGGGTGGATGTTCGACCCTCTATAATACACGCAGCCCATTTGGATCCAAACTGTGCGACGGTGTGATTTTTCAATCGGGACGCCAACGTGTAAAACAAACACGACGCGACGGGAGGTTCTTCCTGCAACTTTCTATACGCGGGGGCCCTCGTCAGGCCAAGGCCCCGAGAACGTGAACAAACTACTCGGGAGGAAATACCAGTCTGAAGTCGGGCCTGTCCCTCTACAGGAGGAATATTCGAAAATAGTCAAACATATTATGGGAACGATGTTTGAACTATGCTTGACTATTTTTGGGGCATGTTGTAGACTATTGTTTATTTTTGTCCAACATCAGCCTGTAGGGGGGCGCGCCCGACCTAAGACCAGTCACGGGGGAGGGGTCGAGGCCGCTTGGGGTTCACGCCGCGAAACAGACACGACGTCGGATGTTTGGGCAGTGTCGCTCTTGCCGCCCAGGTGCAGGGCCTCATTCTATCCCAGTTGTCCTTACGGTGTGCTTTCTCTTTTGTCCGGACGTGTCTCAACGATTTCGGTTCCCTGGGGCCCGCTATCTGGTACCAATAATGGATTCGGAGCGAAATTTACTTCTGGGAAGGGGTCGGGATTCCCGGGGCCGCGGATTGAAAAGATCATATCGTTGGATGTTTGGGTTTGTCCCCCCCAGTGTTGGACCCGTTCCGATCCGCTCCGATTCGATACGGATTCCACTTGGCTGGATCCGATTCGATGTCGGTTTCCTGGCGGACCAATGTTGGCCAGTGCTTGCACGCCGTATGTGTGCATTTTGGCGTAACCGATCATATTCGATTTCGAATCTGTGCACTTGGCGCCCGATCCGATATTCTGTCCGATCCGACCCGATTTCCCGATTCGATGTTGGTTGATCTTGTCAGTGAGCGATCGGGGGTTGGGCGATTGTTCTCCCAGAGCTGTGAGGAGCGTCTAACCAGGCCTCGAACAGATATACCATCCAGATCAATATGCGAATCTCGGGGCCCGAATCTCGGTACCAGATGTCGGATGGAGGTCCCCGCTCGAAAGGGAGCCCTCCCTGGCTCCGACACGTCGCACCCCGAATTGCCTGAACAAGCGCCTTCGCCGCCTTGCCCTGCCCAGTCCCCCCTCCCGAGGGTCGGACGGGGCAGGCCGTGCACCTGCGCCAGCGTGCATGCCACCATTCCCAAGGCAGGAGGAGGGCGATGGCAGCGATGCCTGGGGCCAGGACAGGCCTGGCCAGGGCCGGCGCAGGTGCACACACTCCAGATTTCGTAATAAAGGGAGGGGGGTCTCATTTCGGGGGGGTCTCTTCCTGGCTATCTTGGAGGGCCTGGGGGGGTCTGGGGACGATGTTTTGGAGGGTTCTCCCACGGGGGAGGTCTGAAATGGCTTGTCTTGGAGGGTCCAGACCCCCTCCCTTCTATTACGAAATCTGGAGTAGTCACTCGAGCGCCGTCGAGACACGGGGTCGCCTTCACCGACATTGGCGCGCGAGCTGCCCGCGCAAGGTCGCGCGCGAGCGCCCCCGTCTCCACTGTGGCGTGCCGCGCTGGCGGCCTCGCGCACGCCGCGGCGTAGCGCCGCTATGCCATCTCGCGGAAGTCCCGTTTGTGATCGTCGCTCAGCTGGCGCCCGCCCATACAGGTTTGAGCGTGAGGGGGAGGAGGAGGGGGAGGAGGAGGAGGAGGGGGAGGAGGAGGCGGAGGAGGAAGAGGAAGAGGAGGAGGAGGGAGGAGGAGGAGGAGGAGGAGGAGGAGGAGGAGGAGGAGGAGGAGGAGGAGGAGGAGGAGGAGGAGGAGGGGAGGAGAGGAGGGGGGGGAGGAGGGGGGGGAGGAGCAGGAATCAGGCAACTGTTCCTCCAGCTCCCCTGCCTCCCAGGTGCCCTCCAGCACGCTCGCAAGTTGATTTCTGGCCCGCGCCTGCCCACCTGTCGTCGCTGCGTGTTGGTCGTTCCTGCTGGGCGTGACACGCCAGGTGGGTTCGTGAGGGGTTGTCCACGTGGGGGATCTGGTCTCATGATGATCGGGCGGGCGGCAGCGGAGTGGCAGTGAACGTGGGGGGATCGAGGACTCCAGAAGGGTGGCCCGAGAGGGGCCCTGGGCGGTCCCCGAACGGCCACCGCGGTTTCAAGGGTGGACGTTCCTCCACCCCACGTGTCTTGCCCCCTCCCCCCCCCCAGTACTTGGCATCGCTCGGACGTGTGCATTTTTTTCTCGGCGAGGACCATCGACGAGCATCCTTGATCTTTTGGCGAAACAACCACGCACGAAACCGAAAGAAGCACAGGGAATGGCCGTCCGAGCGATGGCCAGCAGTGGCGAACACCCGAGAGGATAGCGGCGAGGGATCCGGGGTCCGATCTCGGGGGGCACGCTGGCATCGGAAGCGCACGCCTGCATCGCTGATGCGCGCGCGCGGGCGGTTGGGAGGCGCCACGCCGTGGGTCTGATCCTCCTCCTCGTCCTCCTCGTCCTCCTCTTCCTCCTCTTCCTCCTCTCCTCCTCCTCCTCCTCCTCCTCCTCCTCCTCCTCCTCCTCCTCCTCCTCCTCCTCCTCCTCCTCCTCCTCCCCTCGCTCGCCGCCGAGGAGGAGGAGGAGGGGTCCCAGCGGAAGTGGGAATATTTGGCGGAAGTTTCCCGCCGATTTTGGCAGCAGGCTGGGTTCCCGGGTTCCCGGTTCCTGGTTTTGGTTCATGGCCGATTCCGGTGGGTTCTGGGTTCCCGGGCTCCCGGGTTCCCGGTCGATCTCTTCAGCGAAAATCATCCATTGATATGTTTTTTTCGTTGGTGAAACTTGTTTTCAATGTGTCCGCTCACGCCCTGCATGCGAGCCGTCTCTTCCGTCGCCCCTTCCTCTTGCGCAGGGGCGGGTTTGATACGGCCGTGTGCTCCAGAAGCCACTGCGAGGAATTCTGGCAAGAGGTTGAAGAGTCCACGGCAGCAGGGGAGTCGAGTTTCGAGCGGGCGATCGCGTGCGAGGTGGCGGAGGCGATGTTCGTGCAGCGGTGTCGGGATGTCGGGGCGTCGTGGCGTCGCGGTGGCGGGGTGTCGTGGCGTCGCGGTGCTAGGAGTCGAAGATGTTTTCTGGTCTGCTCTTGGCTTCCGAGATGATCCCAATCTCCCGCCAAGATTCCCGAGTAGTTCTTCCAGGATGCCCATAATATGGCCTGCACTGGCCTCAACAGGTCCCCAAGAGGCACACATTTTGAAACAACACATGGTTCATTACATGTTGCCCCCAGAAGTTCGGAAGAGGGCCCCAAGACTGTCCAAGATGACCCCAAGACGGCCCCGATACTCCCCGCGGGCCCTCCCTCGGCCCCTCCACAATTACTCAATATGAATACACTCTCCTCCATCCCCTGATGGCGTGCGGAAGATAGCGGGCACCCCTCCGCGTACTGTTTCTTTTACACAGCAGGATTTCTCGGAGTTGGGTTTTCGCTTGGTTTTTGTTTTCAAATGCTGCTCTCGCTGAGGCGCCGGCCTCATTTTCGGGTTTCCGCTCGTCCCGAATCGTGCTCCCGTTGCAGCGTGGGCCTCATTTTTCGGATCGGTGTTTTGCCTCCGTCGTTCAGGATGGCGTTCCTACCCCAGCGCGGGCCTCTTGCTCGCGCGCCCATCCGCCCGCCGCCACCGCACCGCGCCCCGCCCCGCCCACCGCCACTTCCACCCACCCACGCACGCACGCACGCACGCACGCACGCGCACCACCACCGCGAACCGCCACCACCACCCCACTACCCCAGCCACCACCACCACGCTACACCGCGTCACACCACATCACACGCGCGCGCACACAGACACACACGCACGCACGCACGCACGCACGCACGCACGCACGGGCGCGCGCGCGCGCACGCACGCACGCGCGCGCACGCCGCACGCACGCACGCACGCACGCACGCACCCCCCCCCCCACATACACACACACACAACACACACACACACGCGCCCACGCACGCACGCACGCACGCACGCACGCACGCACGCACGCACGCACGCCGCACGCACGCACACCACACACACACACACACCACCACACCACACACACACACCCCACCACCACCACCACCACACACCACCACCACGCACCACCACCACCACCACCCCCCACCGCCATCACGCACGCACGCACCTGGCCCACCACCAAACCACCAAGACGCCACACCACGTCACACCACAGCACACGCGCACACACGCACACACACACACACACACCAACCACCACACCACCACCACCACCACCACCCACCACCACCACCCCACCACCACCACCACACCACAAACCACAACCACGCACACACGCACACACGCACGCACGCACGCGCACCAACACCCACTACGCACGCGCGCGCGGAGCCACAGGTCCGCTACGACACGCGTCCGCGGATAGAGAAAATCAACGCCATGGTAAGGGATGGGAGGAAGGGGTAGGACGTCAGACATGATTCGAGCGCACATAGCTTGCCTTCTTCCCCTCCCTCTCTCCCTCTCCCTCTCTCCCTCCCTCCCTCCTCCTTCTCCCTCTCCCTCCCCATGTTCTCCTCCCTCCCTCCTTCCTTAATTCTCCCCTTCCCTTCCCTCACCCCCTCCCTCCCTCTCCGCTTCCGCCTCCCTCTCCCTCCCTTCGCCCTCCTCCTCCTTCCAACTCCCCTCCCTCTCGCTCTCCCCCCTCTGCTCCTCCTCCTCCTCCTCCTCCTCCCCTCCTCCCCTCCTCCTCCTCCTCCTCCTCCTCCTCCTCCTCCTCCTCCTCCTCCTCCTCCTCCTCCTTCTCTCACTCCTCCTCATCCTCCTCATCCTCCTTCTCTCCTCCTCCTCCTCCTCCTCCTCCTCTCTCCTCCTCTCCTCCGCCTCCTCCTCCTCCTCCTCCTCCTCCTCCCTCCTCCTCCCCTCCTCCTCCTCCTCCCTCCTCCTCCTCCTCCTCGTCCTCCTCCTCCTCCTCCTCCTCCTCCTCCTCCTCCTCCTCCTCCCTCCTCCTCCTCCTCCTCCTCCTCCTCAGCCTCCTCCTCCGCCTCCTCCTCCCTCCTCCTCCCCTCCTCCTCCTCCTCCTCCTCCTCCTCCTCCTCCTCCTCCTCCTCCTCCTCCTCCTCTCCTCCGCTCCTCCTCCTCCTCCTCCTCCTCCTCCTCCTCCTCCTCCTCCTCCTCCTCCTCCTCCTCCCCTCCCTCTCCATTCTCTCCCTCTCCCCCCCCCTCTTCTCCTCTCCCCTCCCCGCCCTCACCCGTGCCTCTCCCCCTCCTGCTCCGCCCCGCGCCCTCCGGCCCCCGAGGCGCCGGGGGCGAGGCGGAGGGCGCCGACGACGCGGCGGCCGAGGCGGGCGAGGAGAGCGGCGCACTCTCCCGCGCCACTGCGGCCACGGGGGGGGGGGGGCGAAGGCGGCGGCGGGGGCCTCCCGTGCGCTCGGCTCGGGTCGGGCGAAGGAGGCGTGCATCAGGCGATCGCAAACATGGGTCAAGGGGGCGTGGATTTCCGTGGTTATCCGTGGGAAACGAGGATCGCAAGCATGAGCGACGGGTCCCGTTTCCGTGGGAAGTCGCGGATTTCCACCGCCGAGCGAGGCGGCACCGGCCGCGCTTTGGGGAGGGCGCCTCCCCCGTTCCATGGATCAGGCGACCGCGCGCCGAATCCATGGATCGCTAATCCATGTTTGCGCGCCCCCGAGTGCATGCGTATATTTGAGTCGGGCACGTCACTCTATAGGAGGAAGATTCAAACATAGTCAAAAAATAATCAGGGGACGATTGTTTGACTATTGTTTTGTTTTTTGGGCGTATTTTTTGTTGTTTGATTTGCTTCATTGTTCGCCCCAAGTCCGCCTGTAGAGGGGTATATCGATGCTCAGATTGCACATGCAGCGGCGTTGCGCCCGTCTCCCGAGGGGGTGAAGCGGGAGGGGCCGGCCTTCTCAGCAGGCGGCGGCGTTTCTCAGAAGTCTTGTTGCCTTCTGGGAAGCCGTCCGTGGCTTCGGTGGGGACGCAGAAGACTTCTCGGAGGCGGCGAGGGCTGCTGCGAAGCCTTGCCGCCTCCGAGATAGGGAAAAGGGGGATAGGACATCTTCGGTAATTCAAAGGTACGGTCCTGAGGGAGGGGGTCCACAGGATGAGGCGCCTCATACAACGTGAATCCCTCACGCCCAGCGACGCGTGGAGGCGCCGGGAAGACCAGGCTGCGTTTAAGTCGGGCGTGTCCCTCTACAGGAGGAATATTCGAGAATAGTCTGGGGAATTTGTTGTTGAGCATTTTTGGATTGTTTGGGGGTATTTATAGGGTATTTCAGACTTTTCGCCCAACATCCGCCTATAGGCGGGACAGGCCCGACCTGAGGCTGCGTGTGAGCGGATTTGCTGCGCCCCACTCTCGTCCGACCCGATCGGCCGCGAGGGCGGAGATCGCCAGCAAGGCAGGGGGGGTGAGGGGAGTGAGAGTCGGGGGAGGAATATGTATACCCATACCCCCTCCTCCTCCTCCTCCCCCTCCTCCTCCTCATCCTCCTCCTCGTTTTTCTTCTCTTTTCCTCCTCCTCCTCCTCCTCCTCCTCCTCCTCGTTTTTCTTTTCTCCTCTCCTCCTCCTTGGCGGAGGCGAGTCAGGGGAGCAAAAGGTATCCATGCCGCTACCCTTCCCTCGTGTTCCTCTTTCTTGAGGTCCGGGGAGTAAGGGTATCGGTACCCTGTGGTTTCCCCTCCTCCTCCTCCTCCTCCTCCTCCTCCTCCTCCTCCTCCTCCTCCTCCTCCTCCTCCTCCTCCTCCTCCTCCTCCTCCTCCTCCTCCTCCTCCTCCCTCCTGGTGAGCTCGGGCTCTGCTCTGCTTTCACGGACGATGTCTCGCCCCAGTCCCAGCTTTCTTCCGCGGCAGCTACGCGTCGCGTCGGCCGACGGCGGCGCCGCCGCGGGCGTTCGAGGTTGGGCGCCACTGGCGACTCAGAGTCGATCGACGTCGAACGATCTGGCGTCTCGGACATGGCCGATCGGTATTGGTACTTGTTTCGTTTCCTCTGACCGGGGCAACGAGACCCAGACGTCGGCGGGCCGCCCCGAGGGGGAGCGAGAGGGGGCGGGCCTTGTCAGAAGGTCCCTCCTCCCTCCTCCCTCCTCCTCCTCCCTCCCCTCCTCCTTCTCCTCCTCCTCCTCCCTCCTCCCTCCTCCTCCTCCCTCCCTCCCTCCCTCCCTCCCTCCCTCCCTCGAGCCTTCTGAGAAGTGTCCTAAGCCTTCCCCGAAGACACCGAGCGCTTCTCAGAAGGCGCGAAGGCTTCTGATACCGCCCGCCGCCTTCTGAAAAAGGCCTACTTCTCCTCTAGTCGGGAAGCCTCGGGATACACCCCCGAAATGGCCATTCGGACGCACCCCTATATCCCAGGGTTGGGCCCATCACGAAGCCTGGGAGAGGGGTCGACATCCCCCCTGTGAACAGAAAGCTCTTCGGGAGGCTCGAAGGCTTCTGATGCCGCCCTGCCTCCTGAGAAGGCTGCGAATCCTGGCAGACAGTTTTTGCGGCCGTGCTCGATGTGAACGTTGCGAAGAGGACAACGCCGAGCGATGTGGGGCCCACTCCGTCCTCCTGGGGCCCTCGGGGCGCTCCGGGGCCGTCGAAGAACGACCGGGGACCAGACTCGAGTCCTGGGGACGTGGTCCAGATCTCCAGGGGGCGATGCTCGGAGGAGGAAAAGGTACCCATACCTCTACCCCCTCGCCCGCTTTTCCCTTTTTGGGCCTCCAGGGAGGCCCTCGTCGCCACCGCTGGATTCGCCTCGAAATCCTGGTCAGATCGCACCCTGGGAGAGGTCCGGGGAGTAGCGGTATCGATACCTTTTGGTTTCCCCAGCTGTCGTGAAGCAGTCATGGCGCGGGAGTTCTGCGGAGGCGAGGGGCGGGGCGATGCAGGGGGATCAGTTTATGGAGGGGGGGGTGCAGCGAACCCCCAGATGGGGTGTCGCCCGGAGTGCCCCTGGCCCCAGGTGTTCCCAGGCTTCCCAGGGACGCCCCCACGGCCTCCAGAGCACCCCATCACGAGCCCCAGTGGGCCCCCTGGGGCTCCAAAGTTCAGCGAAAAGCTGGGTGCGCCTTGTGCCAGGGGCACCTTTGGCCCCCCCCGGCCCACACCGCCCACACATCCAGGGCACCCGCGGGGGCTCGGAAGTCATTGCTCTTCGCGCATCCTCGCGCATCCTCGGCCGCGCATCTCGAGGTCCGCGAAGAGCGTCGCGCCTCGCGGGGCCCCAGGCCCGTCGCCGAATGGGGCCTGCTACCCAGAACCCTCGCGCTGTTAAAAAACGCGACGGGAGGCTTTTCGTTTGTTTATTTTCGGCCTCCGGGGGCTCCCACCGGGCCTGGGGACCTTCGAAAAACGACTCCAGGTGAAAAGAGCGTGTGTCTCATTGCTTGGGGCATAATGGGCATTATAGCCCCCAGCCCCCCCCCCTCCCCCCCCCCTGTAAAGTAACGCCCCTCCCCCCTAGTGCGCTCTGGGCACTGCCGCCGTGCGCACGGCGGGGGGGAGGCGTTACAGGAGAACCCCCCCTGCCCCCTCCCCCTCCCTTATAATGCCCATTCTCGCCGATTGTGTTTTTTTGAGCGCCCAAAACCGTACCAGGGGCAGGGGGTCCGGGCCTCTGGGGGTCGCCGTTGCGAAAGAGCGTGACGTTGGGGGTCTGGGCAGCTTACCCCCCGCCCGGGGAGCGTGCGCGGGTTCGCCGAGAGTTCTTATCGTGACGGCCTGTCGGCCAGGCGTCGCAGCGCCCGGGCGGTGTGCCTCGCCTGGGCTTTTGTCGGGCCTGTCTTCCTACAGGAGGCAGATTCAAAAATTATCGCATCTAGTCGGGGGACGATGTTTCGATTATTTGTTTGACTATTTTCTGGTATGTTTTTACTGCTGTTATTTTTCCTCCAAAATCCGCCTGTAGGGGGACAGGCCCGACCCAAGCCTGGGTGTCAACCCCCCCTGATCGTTCCCCTTAGCCACCGAGGGAGCGCAAACGTGGATTTGTGGCGGGCCCCGTTGAATTGCAACATCGGTGTGGGCAGTAGTTACATCCACATCCAGTGCGTCTTGGAGTTTGGGGCTTCCCCAGAAGACCGAGGCGCACTGAAGATGGATAAACATCGGGCCCCAAAATACTAGATGTTGTGCCACATCCAGTGCGCCTCGGCCTTGCGGCACACCTTCTCAAAAAGTCCAAGACGTGCTGGATATGGATATACGTACTGCCCGCACTCGTGGTGCACCGTCACATCGGACGGTTTATCCCCGATCCGTGGAGCTGGCGCCCACGCGCCAGATCCACGGATCCCTGATCCATGTCAGCGCGCGCCCGACTCGAGATTGAGGAGTGGCGGTGTGTCAGGGATGGGGCTGAAAGATGTTGCCCGACTCCACATTCGGCTAGGCCCCGCGCGCACGCTTGCTCGCTATTGGTGCCCGGTCTTGGGACATCGCGGAAGCTCCAGCGCGAGTCGAGTGACAGCACGCAGTCGCTGTTAAGCCAGCGGTTCGATGTATCGATTCCTTCAGTACGGGGTCCCCGGAAGTTCCGTCCCTTGCCCCAGGGCCGACTCTTCATTCGGAGTGCATTTGTAGACGGCCTCGGAGCCCAGCGAGGCCTCTTGCGAGGCCGAAATTTGCGAAAACCATCTGTCTTGATTTTTGAGTACGTTGAATCCCTGGGTTAAGCTAATTAGAGATCCCAGGGCCGCTCATGGTCCAGAGAAGTCGTGGAAGCTCCAGCGCGACTCGAGGGACAGTATGCATAGTCGTTGAGCCAGCGATCCCAGGAGGCGTCCAGGTCGTTGAGCTAGCGACCTCAGCAGGAGTCCCGCTTGCGTCTGGTCTGGCGAAAAGTCGTGGAAGTCCAAGCGCGAAGGGATGAACAGCAGAAGTCGTTGAGCCAACGATCTCAGCAGGATTCCGGGCTGCGCCCAGTCAGGCGAGAATGATCGTGGAAGTTGCAGCGCGGGGAGAGGGACCCAGACTTCTGACGTCGAGATTTTTCAACGAGTGGACCCTGGCCCTGGAGATTTGGACCCATTCCCCGGGACCGGCTTCTCATCCTGATCGTTTTTTCATGGTCCCGGTGCCCGACGAGGGCCCCCAGATGTTGGAAACTGCTCCAAGATCGTCCGTCGTGGTTTTGCAGTGCGCGGCTCCGGAGGTCAAGACCCCTTCCCTGGGATTCTATAATGTGTAATTATCGCCGCAGACCCATCTCGATGGCCACCGCCCCCCGGGCCCGAGCGCAGGCCCCAGAGCCCGAAGTTCGGGAGCCTTGAGACGGGGGTCAATACAGATGGGGGTCAGCCAGGGCGCCAGATCCTGCAGGATTCTGCGAAGACCCCCTCTGGCTGACCCGGGTTAGGGAGCCGCTCGTGGCCGCGAGGCGGCCGCGCGTATTGGCTGACCCGGGTCTGCGAAGACCTGCGGTGCAGTTTTTTTTTCCTGCATTGCAGTTTTTGGTTTCCTGCTGACCCGGGTCTGGATTGACCCGGGTCAGAAGATCCCCGAGAAGTGGAGGCAAAAAAAATGCGCCCAGGCGACAACGTCGCATCCTCGGGAGTCTGCAGGGTTTGAAGAGCGTCATGGCGCCGACATCGCAGAGTGGATGTCGTGCGGAAAACAGTGGGATGGGCCAAGATGCTCCTGGAGAATGCCGCTCCGGATTTCGAAGTGATTGTCGCGCGGATGTTCTGTTTGGCCAGGAACGAAGCCTTCCAAACAAAACATCTACGTGAAATGCACTCCGTTGTTCGCTCCCCGTTTCCGGGTGTTGCATGGGCAGAAGTCTATGCAAAGATCCGCTGCAGCACGCCTGCAACGTAGTGAGGCGTGGAGCTTCGCGGGAGGCAGGGGAGTGTCGCATGGCTTCTGCCCCTGGGGCTGGGAGTCGCCCGCGTCGGGGTGCCCTCTCTCGCCACGCCTCATTCGGAGGTTGACAGACTTAAGCCGGGCCTGTCTCTCAACAGGAGGATCGTTCAAAATTCGTCAAAAAAAGTGATAGGTCGCCGATTCTTTATTATTGTTTAGCATATTTGGAGTATTTGTTCTACTATTTTTGTTGTTTCGTCCAAAACCCGCCTGTAGGGGGACAGGCCCGACTTAATGATCGACCTCCTACCCTGACACGTCGATTAGCGAATTGGCCGTTTTCGGTTAGCGAAAGGGCGTCGCGGCCGTCGTTTTTGCGGGTCCAGGTCCGTCGGTTTCGGCCCTAGGCCGTTTTCACCAAATTGAGGTTCACTAAAGGGAGGTGTGTCCACCGCCGACGCGCACGTCTTTCTAAAGGAGGAATGTTCAAGGATAGTCAGAACATAGTCTGGGGACGAGTCTGGGGACAAGTTTGGAACATGCTCGGACTACTTTTCATTCTCCCTCCAACATCCGCCTGTAGGAGGACATGCCCGACCCAACCCCTGCATCAGCCGCGCTCTCCCAGGAGGCGTCCGGGCCGCGCCCAGAGCTGATCGGGGACTTCAGCCTCAACGCCGCCAACGCCGTCACGGCCGCGGCGCTGCTCGAGGCGCCGGCCGCCCCGCCCCTCGGCCCCCTCCTCGCCGGCGGCGTCTCGCCCCCAACCCCCGACCCTGCGAGGGAAGGTGAAGCCGGTCAGAAAAAGAGGGGCACTCGGTCAGAGCCCCGAATCATCAGGGGTAACTCGGGTCAGGGCTAACTCGGGTTCGTTTTTCGGGAATCCGAACCCGACTTACCCCGGACCCGAGTTACCCCGGATAACTCGGGCGTCCAGAGTCCCGAATCATCAGGGGTAACTCGGGTCAGGGGTAACTCGGGTTTCTTTTTCGGGAATCCAAGCCCGAGTTACCCCGGACCCGAGTTACTCCGGATAACTCGGGCGCCCAACTCGGGGATAGAGTCGAAGCCTGTGGTAAGGATGGGCAACCTTCCCAAGGGTAACTAGCCTCGCATCCATGCCTCCCCGGTTCATCCCCAATCCCTTTCGATGGCCAGCCCCCCTCGAAAAGCTTCGACATGCGCGTCCAAGCAAGGCCCTTGCATCCTTATCGTGCATCCTTACTCTAAGTTTTGACTGCACGCCCCAAGGGGGCTATTGTTAGATCGGGCGTGTCCTCCTACAGGGGGATTTCGGACGAAAAATAAGACAGATTCGAAACATGTGCAACCAAATGCTAAACACATGATCAAAACTGCTCAAACAGTCGTCCCCCGACTATTTTTGTACTAATTTTGATTTTTCCTCCTGTAGAGGGACGTGCCCGACTTAAGGCTTTTGGGGCGCACCCCTCTTGAGGATGGACGTCCCCCCCCTCGCATAATCACCCCAGGGTCGGGCCCCAAATTCCTGGCCCATGTGAAGACCACGCGAGGCCTGCGACGGTCGGGTCGACCCAGAAGGGGTTCCAGCGACAACGGGATGGTGCAATCGCGTCTGGGGGCTGCAGTACATCTGGGGCGTGCAATATACATCCCGGGGCGCAGATGTGTTGCTGGATTTGCGCGCGCATTGCACCACCTGCAATACGATGCAGTACAATTCTCCGGCACAATACATTTGCGATACAATGGCCCGAAATCTCTTGCACAACCCCCTCTCAGCTGGACCTCCTCTTTGGGCCACCCGGAGATAGGGGTCGACACCTCCCTTGTTGACCTGCCTTCGCCGTGGAGGCCAGGCCCCCGCCCCAACACCGCGCCCCCTGGGCTCGCGCAGGGTTAAGGCAAGGCGGGCCTGTCCCTCTACAGGACGAATATTCCAAAATAGTCAAAAAAAAGTCAGGGGACGATTTGTTGAACATGTCTTACATGTTTAAATCTTATTCTGACTAGTTTTAATTCTTTCAAAATACGCCTGTAGGGGGGCACGCCCGACCTAAGGTTGGAGGCGGCCCGCGCGAGGAGGGCGGCACCAGAGCCGCCCTCTTCCCCAAACGTTCCCTGCCGAGCTCAGGAGGTTCCGCAGCATGGCAGGGTGGCCTTACGTCGGGCGTGTCCCTCCACAGGAGGAGTGTTCACAAATGTTCCCGAAGTAGTCTGGTGACTAATTTTTGGCTACTTTGGAATCTGTTTGGGGGCATTTGTGGTGTATTCTCGTATCTGTTCGTCCAAACTCGGCCTTTAGGGGAACTGGCCCGACCTAAGGGTAGCCCCGGGGGCAGGCCCTGGGGGCATTCTCGTGAAGGGTTCTCAGGATTCCGAGGGCTCTCAGGGATCAGGCGATCGCAAACGTGAGTCCAGGGGCGTGGATTAGCGACGGGTGCCGCTCCCATGGGAAATCGCAGATTTCTGCCGCCGAGAAAGGCGGCACCGGCCGCATGTTGGGGAGGGCGTCTCCCCGATCCATGGATTTGGCGACAGCGCGCCAAAGCCATGGATCGCAAATCCGTTTTTGCGCGCCCCCGACCCAAACGTGCCCTGCCGAGCTCAGGAGGTTCTGCAGCACGGCAGGGTGGCCCCGGGGAGCAGGCCCCGTGGGCATTCTCATGCATGAGTCTCAGGATTCCGAGGGTTAGCAGAGATTCCGAGGATGCTTAGGGACTCCCAGAGATTCCAGGATTACTAGACGTTGCTGGAGACGGCGGAGGCCTCAGCAGGGACCGCCGCGGGAGGGGATTTGTTTTCCCAGTGCTGCCTTCGGTCCCACTCCGTCCATAAGCCGGCGCAGAAAATTGGCAGCTTCCGTTATACAAAGGTGGTCGATTCAAGACCCTTAGAGTTAAATCGGGCCTGTCCCTCTACAGGGGGGAAATTCAAAATTCAAAAATAGGGAAAACATCTTCTGGGGACTATTTTCGACTATTGTTGAACATTTTGATGCATTTTTGTTGACTAATTCACTCTTCGTCCAAAATCCCCCTGTAGGGGGACAGGCCCGACCTAACCTTACAGGTTCCTCCCCTTCCCGTTGAGACCCAGAACTTCCGGGGCTCCTCGGGCGTGCGAGCGGGCGGGGGCCCCCAAGCGTGGTGGTTGACCACAGCATGCGGTGGGTCAGCGTGGACTCGGGGTCTCCGTGCTGTTCTGGGAGCCGGGTCGCCCTCCCGGAACGTCTCGGGCGACTGGGGCGTCCAGGGTCCCAAAATCGGCGTTCCCCCAAGCATACTTCTACTACGTGTTCGTCGCCCCCCCAGGGGCGACGCGCGCACCGAGAAATCTTGTAGTATATGCGTCGTGGCGGGCGCTTTCTGGCCACACCGCTCGGGAACGATATACTACAAGTTGGGTATACTATATGTTCGGGTCGGACGCGCGCCTCCAAGGCGGACATATAGTAGTAGTATGTCTCTGCGCGTCTCAAAATTGGGATTTCGAGGTCACCGCACGGTCCGTCGCTGCACCGTTTCGGGAACCCCTTGGCCCGAGACGGAGAGGGGGTCCTGAGGGAGGCGGCTTCCTGGGGCTCTCTGTGGGCCCCAGGACAACCAACAAACATGACTGGAGAGATGGTTCCGGTGGAGAGCCCTGGGATTCAGGTCCTGTTTCCACAGGGGCCGCGGGGAGGGGGGCTGGAGCCCTCCTGGCGCCGTGGGGAAAGGGTCATTCAAGCAGTGGCGAGGAGTCCTGGCGCCAGGGAGCGGGCTCCGGCGCAGATCCAAGAAATCCGCGACGACCGTCGAAAGTTTATGCTTACGTCGTTTTTTCTTCCAAAGTCAAGATGAATCCATTCAAGAATTGTCCGGAACGCCTCAGAGCGTTCTGGAACGCTCTGAGAAGACCGCGGGGCCCGAAACATCTTCCAGAGCCGCCATATTTCGAAGATTTCTCGAGTTCTCCGCTCATGAATGTGTCCTCGTCCTGGCTTCGTCTTACGCTTAAGACGCTGAAGCAAGGACCGTGTTGGGTTCGGAAGGGGCTCGCTGTTCCACTCGGCACGAGCGAAATGGGTACGGAAAGAATGTGTACCGATGCCCAGCAGCAGTTCCTGTGCAGTTGGACAAGGCTCGCTGTCCGCGCCGCCGCGGCCTGTGTCCACTTGAGACGGAAGGCCGCCCGCCCAGCAGCGGCCGCTGCTGGTTTGGGACAACATTTGTTGTTGTGCACTGTACCCATTTTGTTCCGTACCCATATCGGGCGTCCACATAGAGAACGTTCACGGATTTGGCCTTGCTAGAGTTTGCAGAAGGCGGGGCGCGGATACGGCAGTTTCGTGCCGCGTCGACGCGGCGGCGGCGGCGCCAGTTGGGGCGTTCAAGGGGCTCGTTGGTCCTCTGGTGATTCCGTAGTTGTTCCTATGGCCCCCCCTTGTGCATCTATAGGCGTTGAGGGCGCGAAGAAGAGGCTCCGCTCCTCATTGTAGCGTTCCTCCTGTCAGCAGCCCGTCTGCATATCCCCCCTTACCTCAAGTCGGGCACGTCCCTCCACGGGAGGAGTATCCAAACATAGTCAACACATAGCCTGGGACATCTATATATATATATGTATATATATAGTGAATGGACAGTTAAGAGCTGTTTTATCAATACATTTATAAAAATATATACAAACATGTTCGTCCAACATCCGCCTGTAGGGGGACATGCCCGACCTAACCCTTACCCATTGAAGCCCGAAGGAAACAGCCGATATCCCAAATCTAGGGGGGGCCGTCTGTGCTGGAGGCCCCCGAGAAAAGAAGGAGAGGGATGGGGATGAGGAGAAGGCGAAGGAGAAAGAGGAGGAGGAGAAGGAGGAAGAATGGGAAGGAGGAGGAGGAGGAGGAGGAGGAGGAGGAGGGGAAGGAACACGAGTAGGCGGAGGAGAAGGAGGAGGAGGCGGGGGAGAATCAGAAGGACGAGGAGAAGCAGAAGGAGGAGGAGAAGGCGGAGGAGGAGGAGGAGGAGGAGGAGGAGCAGAAGGCGGAGGAGGAGGAGGCGAAGAGGAAGCGGAGGAGGAGGAGAAGGAGGAGGAGAAGGAGGAGGCCTCGTCGCCTCGCAGCTCGCGCAAGAGCAGGCGGCCTCCTGGGGGCCCTCCCTCGCGGGGCCGAGCCGCCCGCCCCCCCTTCGAGGTGCCGGGGCTGCGGCGCCTGACGCCCACGCACGACCTGAGCGCAGGCGGGGGGCGCCGCCGCCGCGCGCCGCGGTGCTCCCTGCGCCAGGGCGCGGAGGCGGTCGTCGTCGTCGTCGTCGTCGTCGTCGTCGTCGTCGTCGTCGTCGTCGTCGTCTCGGGAAGGGCCGAGAGTCAGAGCGCGCCTTCCTCTGCAGGACCACCAAGAAGGTGACGTCAAGGGGTGCATCAAGGGGTGGCGTCAAGGGGGCCCATGGGGGGCGTTAAGAGAGTGCATCAAGGGGGTCGGTGAAGGCGCGCTGTTAAAGCGCTCATAGTGGTTGCACCCTTTGACGCCCGTTCCTGGGTGTCTGAAGACTTGACCCTTCGGCCCCACACTCTGCTTGGCATCTCTCGGACGTGTTCACTTTTTCCTCGGCGAAGACCCTCGAGGAACATCTCTCGACAGAAATACGCGAAATAGCAGCTTGCGAGAAATCTGCGGACGACATATCGAAAACATCATGGGGAATGGTCGTCCGAGCGATGGCGGAGGGCGTCGACGACGGCGACGGCGACGGCGACGGTGACGGCGACGGCGACGGCGACGGCGGCGGCGACGGCGGCGGCGACGGCGGCGGCGGCGGCGTCCTCCGTCCTCCTCCCAGCCCTCCTCCCACCTCCTCCTCCTCCTCCTCCTCCTCCTTGTCTTGGGCGAGCCGCAGGCGGCCGCGTGAGGATTCAAATTCTCCTCCTCCTCCTCCTCCCCCTCCTTCTCCTCCTTCTCCTCCTCCTTCTCCGTCCGTCCCTTCTCCTTCGCGTCCCTCCCGGAAGCGCGCCGCTCAAAACATCCAGCTTGATTCAGTTTGACCGCATCGCGTCGGAGCATCGCTGATCCTCATGGTATGTGAACGACGAAAGAAAACGGGGCCCATTGCACCAGTATTTGCGCGACAGCTTCACGCGTATGGCCGCGCGTAAGCGCCCTCTTCTCCACACGGGGTGCCACGTTGGGTGCCTTCGTAATTAAGCCGTGGCCTGAGGTCGCAGTGTCTCCTCACGTAAGGCTGTTGTGGTACTCGTGCACTTGTATGCCCCCCCGCAATAACGCATCCCCACTTCCCACCAACCTTCTCATTGTCTCTGGTCAGTTCTGGATTCTTCGGCGGTGGGGAGCGGCGGGTCCGAATGTCATGACTACTGGGGAAACGTCGATCGTAGATGGAAGATTCTTGTGATGAGCGACAGTAGCATCATCTGATCCATCATTATGTTCATTGTCAGCATATCCTTATTCGTCTTCTCCTTCGTATCATCAGATTCGTATAACCTTCTCTGCTCTTTCTCCTTCTTCTGTCCTCCTTCTCTTGTCCTCCTCCCCCATACCTCCCCCTTCTTCCCGACCCCCGAACGGTTTCATGCCTGCCTGTTTATTAACGTCGGGAACTCTCCACCATTAACAACAACCAGCACGAACGAACAGGCTTCTCAAATAGAAGAGGATGATTTGCCCGAAACTTGGTCTTCTTCCTGAATCCTGCCACCTCCGTCCTCCTTCCTCCTCCGTCTCTTCTCCTCCCTTCCTCGAACATCCGTACAGTCCTAAGAACTCCGTTCACTTCTCCTCCTCCTCCTTTCTGGTGCGACTTGCTGAGAAAAGTTGTTATCTATCAGAACCTTGACATTCAGTATCCCCATGTTGTGATTATCGGGGGCGTATGTTTATTCAGTGGCTGACGCCGCACCGCCGACCCCTTTGGGCGGCAGCAAGAGTGAAACATTGACTTTGCGGAGCGTGCACGATTTCTTGGAATTCTTGGGGTGTCAGCTTCTTGGGAAGTTCGTCGGGGGCGGTTGGATTGCGGCTCTGCTCTTGGGCTTCTCTGGGTTCCCCTGGCAACACTTTGAGGCCTCTTGGGGGCCGTGTCGAGGCCTCTCGGGGGCCTCGTGGGAGCCTCTGGGGGGCCTCTTGGCGCCGCCTCAGGTTTTATCGGGGCCGAGTGTTCGAAATGTCCATTCGGGTTCCCCCTCTGGGCCTCCTTTTGGGGCCTTCCTGGGGCCC